GCTTCCACATCGGCCAATCTCTTGGCTAGTACCTGTTCCATAGGAGAAGGGGACGCCACTAAGTCATCCCGCATGATCGGGTCGGCCTTCACATTTATCTTTGGTACATTCAGTTGGGTCATCCCTCTTGGGGTAGTCTGGCGAGTCCCTTCGTGTGTTCCTTCGAAGCATTGATCTTCAGTCATTCCTTCTGGTTGGATGACTCCCATGGTAATTGTTCTAGTGTTTCGCCCTACATGGATGGTCAAGGGAGTCCTCTGATAGTCATTCAGGTGGTCATGATGAATGGGCTTGGGTGCTGTTGGTTTAGTTTGGCCGTTCATCCAGCAAGGATGAGCCGAGCCGAGTGGAGTATGTGTTTGGGTTGTAGACTGGAGGTGGAGCGGGACGGTGAGGATGGGCTGGTCTTGTGGATGTGGGCTTTCTGCTATTGGATTATCTTGGTCACGAGGCTGGGATGGGTCGACTGGATGGTGTTCTGCTGGCATATCTTTGTCTCCATTAGTCAAAACGGAGTCTTCAAGCGCTAGTGTTCTTAAGGGACGCGGCCCTTTACCGGAGGCCGAGGGCTGATGCTCTGGTGTGGAGAGTGGTTGCATGGATGGGATAGGGGCGCGGAACCGATTGAGGGGCGTTTGGCCGGGAAGGAACTCTAGGTCATAGAATTGACTCACCTTCTCTTTGAGGGATTGGTTTTCTGACCCAACGGACGCATTTTCCGTCTGGATCGCATTGTTCTCAGCTTCCAATGCAGCCACCTTGTCCAAGTTCTGTTGCATGAGAGCGGTTAGAGCTTCCAGTTTGGCCTCGAGGCCGGGATTAGCGTTATCGGAGTTGTTAGCCATGGAATGTTCCTCCACGTAGCAAGGTTCGTCGAGCCGAATAATTGTTAAAGGCCCCACGGTGGGCGCCAAACTGTAAAAGTAAAAATCTACCTGTACGGAAGGGAGGTCTGATCCCATGAGGATGAGGTCACTAGCGATATGTTGTACCTGCACACGTAGAAAAACACACGCGTGAAGCGAACGGGAAACACCAGGGTGGTGTTTGTCATAGGCACTCTGACGCTCAAGTCAGCAAGGTTGAAAGGCTAATATAGTGAGGGCTAGGGAGTAAGAGGTTACCGGAAGTCTAGTCGGGGACTGTGACTACGGCGGTGAAGTGAAGCTCTCAAGTAGGAGCTTCGGGTGTGAAGGTGTAATGTAGTGTCCTTTGTGAGAGGGTTGGCCTCTGCTTATATAGTGACTGTCTGGTCTCCCAATCCTGGTAGAAGTAGAAGTCCTAGCATGACTCTGATGCACACCCTAGAAGAATTAGGATCATGGTAAGCTGTCTTACCAGTGTCCGGATAGGAAAGTGATTCTGATCAGGAAAGTAACTCCGAGTAGGAAAGTGATCAGGAATAGGAAGGTGACTTTGAATGGGATATTGATCAGGAGTAGGAAAGTATTCTGAGGGGGTCATGGGCTCTGGATTCGCCCATGAACCTAGGAAATGGACCGGGATTAGGAGGCTCGTGCCCACGTGGTTTGGGCCGGCTATATCTTGTACCGAATGAGCCTAATCCGGTTAGGTCATATCGGGATTGGGCCTAGCTTCTTCTTTAGTGTCGGGCCCGTTTTCCTATTTGGGCCAAGGACGATTTTTGGCCCTAACAATAAGAAAATTGAAGTTGTTTGAGTTATTGATGTTGGTATAAAAAGATTGAAGTTGTTTGCAGATGTTTGAGTTGTTGATGTTGGTATAAAAAGATTGAAGTGGTTTAGTTGCTGGCATGTTTAAATTGCAGTTGCCAGATAAGAAAATTGCAGATGCTTGAGTTGCTTGGGTAAATTTGAAACAGAAGTACTGGTGATTAGAATTTACTGCAAGCATTGAATTGTTTATGTTGAATTTCACCGAATTGTTGTAGTTTGTTGAAATCATTGTAAATTGATGGAGATGCAGGTTGTTCTCTGGTGAAGTAGCAGGGTGAAGTAACATGAGCTGAATTGCTGATGTGTTGGAAAGAAAAATGGGGATGAATTACTAAAGACTACTAGTGATATAGATGTGTTGATAAATTTGCATAAAGTTGCAGTACTAGTTGTTGAGATGTACTGGTTAGCTGAAGAAGAAATTGCTGATGTGCCAAAACAGCAAATTGAAGGTGTTTAAAGCTACTGGGAACTATTGAAGTTACGGAGAATTAATGATTACTGATAATGGAGTTTGCCTTATTGAGTTGCTGGTAAACTGTAGAAATGTTGAGTATTCGTTTTAGAGAAGTAGAGTTGAGATATGATCACAAATGTAGTGCATGGATTGACTGAAATTTACCGAAGTACTGTACCAGTGCTGAAGTGTGTTGATGGTGTACTGAAATGTAGTGCATGGGTTGGCTGAAATTTACCGAAGTATTGTACTGGTGCTGAAGTGTGTTGCTGGTGTACTGAAATGAAGTTTTTAGAAGCAGCCAAAGCCAAATTGCCCTGTTTGCATCTGAAGAAGTGTATTCCCCTTTCTTTGTTGCTGGAACATTTTGTTTAAATAAGCCTAATCTACAAGACAATTTTGCTCGAGGGGGGCTTTTGACCATGAAAGTCAAAGGCTAAAGGAGTGAAATAATGCAATTGCCCTTCACTTAAAATCACTGTTGAATATGCTGCCGTTTTAGTCTTTGTAATTCAAGCTTCATTTAGCTTCCTTCTTCTTCTCGAAACTACTTTACTTTACTCTCTAAATATGCAACATTGTATTTAGTTGTAAAAATTAAGAAATCAAAGAAACCTTTGCAATACTCTTTGTTGATGCTGGATTTTGGCACCAACTAATTGTCACGTGCGTAACGTTGATTGGCTAAGAAACACACATGATAATGAATATAGAAAGCGAAATAAATGCAAAGAGAGTTTTTAACGTGGTTCGGATGCTAAGGTAGCAAGTCCTACGTCCACTGATTTGTATTGCTATTGATAATGTGGGTCAGGTCGCAACAGCGGACTGACTTACATAAGGTTGGGAAAAGTAAATACAAAAGCGTGGGAGAGAGAGAGAGTTTCTTGTGTGAAATTGTCAAATCCCCCTAATGAAGGGGTCTTCTTCATTTTATATCAAACTGAAGCGTGTAATCATCATTAAATCCATGGTTGGTGTGATTGTCAGGATATAATCCGGCTTTATGTCCCATTACTCTCTTCCCAAGCTGATTTCGCATGATTTATTGCAGGAGAGAGGGACACGTTTGAGACCCATATCATTTGGCAGGTCTGACATGTGCTTGTTGCTCTGATGGGAGCAGGTCACCCTTCACGTGACTCTCCCACGTCAACCCTTATTTTCCCAGGCATAACAGAAGCCCCCTAGTTTTTAAGGTTTGAGGATCGAACCTTGGAAACTAAGTCACATTGGAGGTTCTGGTCGCTCCGACCTGAATGGATGAGCTCAGCACAGGGCCTTTGGCGAACACGACCTCGCGCAATTCCCTGCCTAAGCGACCTGACAATCTTCATCATAGCGATCTAGATTCGTCGGACGCTCTTTTCTGTACCTTAGGGTTAGAGATTCGATGAACCTGGTTCCACGCTGTCAGGCGCTCTGCACGCGCCGTAGTGTCTGCCAGGAACATTAAATGCGCTGTGCTGACTCGGCGTCGTTTCGATAGCCCTGACTGCACGACGCACTTGAAACGACGACTCCTATCAAGGCATTTAATGCGACGTGGGGCGCATTAAATGCGGGGAGAGAGAGGAGGTTGTCGTTTCGGTTCCGAGAAGTGGTAACCGTCGATTCACAATCCATATAAAAACTCACATTTTTCAGATGACGCCACCGAAATTTCTTTTGCTTCGAGTGACAAACCTTTGCAAACCAGAGATCTTTCTTTCCCGATCGGCGCTTATCAGGCAACTAGAACGAGTTTCGGCCTCGGTCACGCATCCGAGAAAGTAAGATTCTCCTTTCTTTCTTTTTTTTTTTTTTTGCATTTGTTTGGTTGGTGGGCAACGGCGTAGGGTCTCTCGGTGTTCCACCAGAGACGCGCCATTGTTGCCGGACTCGAGCCGTGGGTGGCGGCTCAAGTTGCTATTAGGGTTTTAAGAACTTGTCCCCTGCTGCCGCACGGGACAAAGCACGAAGGCCTAAATGACCTTGTCTATCGATGTTGTAGACTCGAATGGATCCGTCAACGTCCAGACCCGAGGAAGCGGCCAGTTCGTCCTTGCGAGACGTTCCTGAGGACGCAGCCCTTGATGTCTTCTCGGTTCTCACCTCAGAGGAATTTGATAGGATAAAAAGGCAGTTTGACATCCGCGCGGAGGTGTTCCTCGACCATACGAGGTCGTCACGACACCCTGCCGATGGCCTTGTCGCGATCTCCGAAGAGATCTTTAAGGGTGGAGGGAGGATTCCCCTCCATCCTTTCATCAGGTCGGTCCTGGATCATTTCGGGATCGCACCGATGCAACTCATGCCAAACGCGTATGTCATCGCGGTCGCGATTTACATCGCGTGCTGCGAAAGCAGCTTGGGTGAGCCAACGGCAGTGGAGCTCGGCGTCGCCTATTACCTCAAGAAGAGTAGGGACAAGGACTCATATTATTTGTCTCGGTGACCTACCATTGCCGCGGGGATACATAGCTATCCCAGCAATGCGGGGGCCTACGAGACAAAGTTCTTCTTTTTCTGTTATGACGGCTACTGCCGCTTTCAGGATCCAAGTAGGTTTTTCTTCACTGGGTTCATTATCTGCTCGCATGATCTATAATAACGACCTGTTTTCTTTTGTAGTTAATAGAATGACTAGCCAAAACTTACCTGCCGACCCAGACAGGCTCGTATCTTTTGGAGTATTGGACGAGGAGAGCCGGGACGCGAGGAAGCTTGTGACAACCGCGAACTTGCGGAAGTACGGTTTTTTCAGCAACAAAGCGTCTTTAGAACCCTTGGAAGGTAAGGTTACGTTAACTCCCGTCCTGGTCGCGGAGCAATTTTGTTTACTAACGAGCTTAAATGTAGAAAACATGCCCCCGAAGGAGTCCGAGCAGCCCCGCCGAGCTCCGTTTGTCTTCCCTCGATCGAGGAGGGAGAGAGCGGCCGAAGCTGCTCGTCCCATTCCTGCACAACCGGTGCGAGCTGCTGCACCTTCGCAGCCCCCTACGCATGAAGCGACCAGGGCAGAACAGGTCGCTTAGGCACCACCAGCATGCCCAAGGCGTAAGGCTCCGGCCCAAAGGTCCAAGAAGAGGAAACAGGTCCAGGCCGAAGAGTCTGAGACCAAATCCGAGGAGGAGCCCTTGAGGTCGCGGGGGGACTCAAGGAGGTCGGGCAAGGAGCCTGCAAGTGAGGCGATCACCTCCGACAAAGCGAAGGACGCACTAGTGCTAGACTGATTGGGGAGTCTGCCCGAATACCTACAGCCAATAGTCTTTAGCCTGCTCGAATGTGAGCTATCGGAGTCATACGACAAGTTTGCTGATTCGGGCGACGACCTGATGACCACGTCGTTCCAGCATCTACGCAAGGTAAACGAGCTGTATTTGAAACTTCATTCTGATTTACTTCTAACTCGTATCTTGCTCGCAGGCGTTACTTGCGATGAGGATGTCTATAGAGAAGACACGGCTGGGAGCTGCGAAGGGGTCCAGCGACCTACAGGAGGAGGTCGCGAAGCTCAAGAAAAGCTTGGAATCCGCCGAAGCTGAAAGAACAGAAGCGTTCGATGCGGCGAACAGGTATCTGAGCCAAAAGGATACCGCTTTACGAACTGTGGATTTCCAAAAGACGGAACTCGATCGACGTGCGGAGGAAGTTAAGGAACTTCAGAGGACAACCGCCAGGCTCTCCAAGGAGGTCGGAGAAAAGGATCAGGAGATCCAGGCGACCTTCGCACGGGCTCAGCGAGCTGAACAAGAGAGGGAGGCCTCCGAAGAGGAAAGGCAAGCTCTTGAGGCTGAACTCCAGGAGAGTCGCGAAAGGGTCGCCTCACTGACTGAAGAGATGCGGAATCAGTCAGAGGAGATGGAGGAAAAGGCCGCCGACTGGGCGATTGGGTGCATTTATTCCCTCCGATCGAGGAACCCAGATATGGACATTTCCGACCTCCCGGAGGGGTGGCAAGCGACCTTACGGATCATGGCCGAGGAGGACGATCTGGAAGCCGTCGCCGCCCAAGGACCCGACCAGGCAGGGGGTTCTGGTTCGAAGGATCCCCTCGACCAGCCGTAATGTAATGAGTCGACCCCATCATAATTGGGTCTAACTTTTTGTTTGTACATAAATAAAGACACCTTCTTTACAATTGTAGTTCGCTTTTTCATATATATGTACAATTTACAATTGTGATTTTCATAGGCAATTACATACAAATTCTTACATGCGAACAGAACACATGCGAACTGTTTCGAGCGAACAAAGTAATACTTGATATTAAAGAAATTAACAAAAACTGAGAGCTGAGTTCGGGATTACTGATAGTATGGCCGGAGGTGCTCGGCATTCCAAGCTCGGGGTACTTTGGAGCCGTTCAATCTTTTGAGGTGGTAAGTCCCCGGTCTGATCACTATGTCGACCCGGTACGGACCTTCCCAGTTAGGCCCTAGTACCCCTACACTTGGCTCTCTGGTTCTGAGGAGAACTTCCTTTAGTACAAGGTCTCCGACCTGGAAGTCTCTTCGCTTGACCTTTGAGTCGAAGAACCTCTTTGCACGCTGTTGGCAGGCTGCTATCCTTAGCGAAGCCTTGTTGCGGTGCTCTTCGACTAGATCCAAGCTTGCTCTCATTAGTGCTTCGTTTTCGGCATCATTGTACAAGTCCCTCCGAAGAGAACCAGTCCCGACCTCTACAGGGATCATCGCTTCGCAGCCGTAGGCTAGCGAAAAAGGGGTTTCCGAGGTGGAGGTTCTTGGAGTTGTCCTGTACGCCCATAAGACTTCGGGGAGATCATCAGCCCAATTTCCTTTGGCTGCCCCGAGCTTGGCCTTTAGAGTGTGCTTGATGGTCTTGTTGACTGCTTCAACTTGGCCATTCGCTTGCGGTTTGGCGACTGAGGCAAATTTTTTATGGATGCCCAGCTCGTCGCAGAACTTCTTGAACTCCTCATTATCGAACTGCTTTCCATTATCCGAGATGAGGGTGTGAGGAATTCCGTAGCGGCACACAATGTTCTTGAAAACGAAGTCTTTTAGCTTTCTGGTTGTGATCGCGGCTAGCGGTTCGGCTTCAACCCATTTTGTGAAATAGTCTACCGCGACTACGGCATACTTGACCCCTCCCTTTCCAACTGGCATGGGGCCGATAAGGTCGATCCCCCACATGGAAAATGGCCAGGGGCTAGATATAGTAGTCAGCTCGTGAGATGGGGCTCGCGGAATGTTCGCGAACCGCTGGCACTTGTCACATTTCTTAACAAAGTTGTGTGCATCTTCTTAGATCCGGGGCCAATAATATCCCTGACGAACAACCTTGTTCGCAAGAGATCAAGTTGCTGTGTGGTTGCCACAGATCCCTTTATGGATTTCCCTCATGATGTAGTCTGCTTCTTCACTGGTCACACATCGGAGGAGAGGGGCACTGAATCCTCTCCTGTACAGCTGATCCCCGATGAGTGTGAAACGAGTAGACCTTACTCGCAGGACCCTTGCCTCGACCTTGTCGCTAGGCAAGGTCCTGTTAGAGTAGATGCCCTAGAGCCAATCAATTATTGTGGAATTGACTTTTTGTAATAATGTTCATTAATCAATAATAAAAGGCATTTTATTCTATATCGCGTAAATCATTATTATTGCAATATGTATTGATATATGTCCATAGAATGGTAGAACCGTGACGAGGGTATCAAGTGTTTCAAATCTTGATAGTGAGAACCCTATGAGCACATATGGTGGCCATTCTAGAAACGTCCGTAGCCCAGTATTATTCTGAAGTAAGGGCACAGATAATACGGTAAGGCTATCATAGTGTTGAACGACCCTGTCGAAAGGCAGTGACTGATCTCACTTGTCAAGGTTGTTTGGTGACAACCTGGTGCAACACATGGGTGCTTGTTGTAGGCGGATATACCGCAGCAAGTTCACTGGACTGACCCACCAGAGGATTCCATATGGATGGTAACCCCAGTGTCTATGGAACAAATCCTCTAACGAATGGTGGTGCATGTGATCCTTAGACTTGAGATCACCGGAGCGCCTTGTGCACCGATTGGTGCAGTTTGACACTAGCCTAACGCAGTTCTATTCAGAGCTGTCAGTACGGTGGTGATTGGCTATATCAAGGAGTGTATCAAGACTATGGTGGATTGACAAAGGATTCATCACTCCCGGGTACGGGAGAAGTTATCTCACGGCGCAATTCAGTATATGGCAATGACACTAAAACTGTGGCCACAGTGGGATTGAGTTGTTGCTCTATCCAGATTATAATACGGGTCATTGGTCCAGAAACTGAATATATAATATCGAGAGTAACCGAAGGTTGACACTATTTCTATGCCTTCGTCTCGTCGAGATAACGTATGATGAAAGGATCGTATTGTACGGTAACCATATCGTTGACAGGTAGCTACTTTGCTGAATCCGAATCTATCGGGTGGCCATGATGCCTTGCTAGGGGCCAATCTTGGTCTGTGTATTAGTGAGACGATTAATTGGTGTTAATCGCGATACTATACACTACCGGTATGATGAGGAGCCTATGGGTCACACACATAGAAGATAATTTAAGAGCCAAGAAGAAAGAAGGGCGTTTTCGTCTTTTTAGGCGAAAGGGTATTTTGGTAATTTCACAGTGCAATTAAATTTGCTGAGGTCGTAGCCTTTTTTTAAATTTGTTAAAAATTAAATAAGTGAAATTACGGTTAAATGTGTGTTCGCACATATTTAATTAAATCATCATTATTGTTAAATGTTAATTAAATATTAATTGATTTTAATTAAGATAATGATGAATTAAATTAAAATATCAAATTGGGAGTGTTTGGCAACATGGGGTGTTTGGGTTGGAGCCCAAGCCCATTCCATGTGGGAATAGGGCAACTTGGTTTGCCTATAAAAAGAATAGTGTGTGATTCATTCTTTAATTTTAAAAAAAAAAGAAAACACAGCAGCCCCTTATACACTCTCTCACGCCAATCTCACTGTTTGATTGAAAAATCAAATACTGATCTTCTTCTTGATTTCTTAAGGCCAAGGAGGATCTAGCAAATCCCTCCTTGGTTCTTGGTGGTTGTCTTCGTGTGGACTTCTTGGTTCGATCCTACACTTGGATCGGTAGCAAACACATTCAGAGACAACATTGGTGGAGCCTCCAAACGTGGGTATGAATCTAAACCTTTAGATTTATTTTTCTGCAGATTCATATTATGCATAAACTGTAAAATCTATCTGATTTTGGGTTCTAAGGAACGATCCGTAGTTGTAAAAATTTTGTTTTCCGCTGCACAACCGGGTCGTTTCCTAACAGGTCCCATCCTTGAGGTACTAGACAATGGGGGTCATCCAGGAATCTAGTTGAGCAACATTTATGGCCTGTTCGGTCGAGCTGATAGTTGGAGCATCGACGAAACGAATAGGGATGTTATCAGGAGCCTCTGAATCCAACGAGAAGGCTATCTTTGCCAAGGCGTCTGCTATAGAATTGCTCTCTCTGGGGATCTGAGCGATCTCAAAGTGCCTAAACGACCCCAAAGAGGTCTTAGCCTCTTTCAGGTAGCGGACCATGTTTTCTTCCTTGGCTTGGTATTCCTCTAGGATTTGGTTGACGACCAGCATAGGGTCACTGTAAATGCTGATCGCGGTTGCACTCATTTCTTTGGCAAGTCACAACCCGGTGAGCAGGGCTTCATACTCGGCCTCATTGTTGGTCGCTTTAAACCCGAACCGGAGGATACCATGAATTCGAGCCCTCTCGGGGCTCACAAGGAGAAGACTCGCACTGGCTCTTTTCCTGTTTGATGACCCGTCGACGTAGAGGTTCCAAGTCGACAGGTTCTGAATACTTTCTTGCACGGCTTCGCTAGGCTGTTGCTCGCTTGGGAGATAGGAAAATTCTGAGATGAAGTCGACAACAGCCTACCCTTTAATGGTCGACCTGGGCTTATACTTTAGGTCGAATTGGCTCAATTCCATGGCCCATTTGAGCAATTTACCCGAGGCCTCTGGTTTCTGGAGGACCTGCCTGAAGGGGTAATTTGTCATTACATTGATCGTATGGGCATGGAAGTAAGGTCGCAGCTTTCTGGACGCGACCAGCAGAGCAAAAGCTAGTCGCTCCATCTTCGGATACTGCATCTCGGCATCCGATAGACGCTTACTTGCATAATATACTGGCCATTGAGCCTTTTCCTCTTCCCTTATTAAAGCTGCACTAACCGCGAACTGGGACACGGATAGGTAGATGAGCAGGATCTCCTGTGGAAGAGGCTTAGAGAGGAGAGGTGGCTTCCTAAGGTGTTCTTTTATATTCTGGAATGCCTGCTCGCATTCGGGAGTCCACTCGAATTTCTTATTGGCCTTTAGGACGTTGAAGAATGGTAAACAGTGGTCTGTTAGCCTTGATATGAAGCGACTAAGTGCCGCTATTCGCCCGTTCAGACTCATGACCTGCTTTTTGTTGGTCAGGCTCTCCATATCGAGCAGAGCTTGAATCTTTTCGGGGTTTACTTCTATGCCCTGCTGATTGACCATATATCCCAGGAACTTTCCTGACGATACCCCGAACGAGCATTTGAGAGGGTTCAGCTTCATTCTGTAGAGTCGGAGTATGTCAAACATCTCTGCGAGATACGCAATATGTTCTGAGGCGACCTAGGATTTGACCAGCATGTCGTCCACATAGACCTCCATTGTCCTCCCGATCTGGTCGGAGAACATTCGATTGACCAACCTCTGATAGGTCGCTCCCGCATTCTTGAGGCCGAAGGGCATGACTTTGTAACAGTATAGCCCCTGGTCCGTAATGAAGGTCGTATGCTCCTCATCTGGCCTATACATCGGGATTTGATTGTATCCCGAGTATGCATCCATGAAACTTAACAGCTCGTGCCCCGAGGTGGCATCAACGAGCTGGTTGATTCTCGGCAGGGCGAAGCTATCTTTCGGGCAAGCTTTGTTGAGGTCGCTGAAGTCTACACAGGTCCGCCACTTGCCATTTGGTTTCTTTACCAGGACCGGGTTGGCAACCCAGGTCGGGTAGAGAGCCTCACGAATGGATCCATTTCGGAGAAGGTTCTC